CATAACAAGCTCATTGTACTTGTTTCTCATGAGTTTACCAGAAATGTGAGTGGATGATCAGTAGTGACTTCTTTGTTTAATTGAAACTGAAAAATTTCTATTTCTTCTCTCAGAAGCCACTGATAAATAACACCCGATGCTAATATGGGATCCAGTGGAGGCGATCCAGTTGAACTACAAAATTGAGACAAAACCCTTTCATTTAAGCATCCACTTTTGTTAATGACTTATTTGTAGAGAAAATTAAGTAAACATATTAAAGCACCTAAATGTAACATCAATGTTTATCATCAAGTTACCTATGGTTGATAGTATTATATTGATATCATCTGGTAAATCAATAAACAAACCCTGTACTTTTGCTCAACATAAAGTGTGTATTATTGCACACCAGTCTGTTTCTTAAAAATTCAAATGGGCCTCGTATCTACAGGAAACTCGTCAGACTATTCTACAATTTGATGAATTGTTGAGAACTCTGTAAATGAGGTAGTAATTTGTCTCTGCATTGTGAACTTGATTTAGTTTTATTCTTTTTCTCACAGGCATTTTGAAATATTTATGATGAGGTACATTGGTAATTTGATGTGCAAGTCCTGTGAGAAACAAATGAACTAATTACCAGTCAATTTGCCACCACTGACACATCCTTCCAAATTCTGTTTCTGCTTTTAAAAGAACTGAAACAATAGATTAAAAAAAAGAATATAAACTTAATGGTTTAAAAATCCCATATTGTTTTCTTTCTCAGTCTTTGCCTATTTCATCATCAATCATTAACTTGATCATGTTAATCATTTTGAACACTTGTACTAAACACCTGCTCTGGTTTTAGAGGAATTAATCAAGCAATGTTCCAGATAATAGATTTGGCCTTGATGATCAGGTGTTTCATATACAAGTGTTCCCAGAAAGCATATTTTAGTTATTACATTCTGCTAAGTAACAAGAAGTCAATCTGTGGTAAGTACTTTAAAATTAAATAACTTTTACATATGATATGAATGAAAAAAATTGACTCATGGTTAGTAAATAGAGCAGTGTCATTTTCAATTGACTTTGGTGTAAAAATCTTTTGAATTTATCAAATTACTGTGTTCTATTTTATTATGAGTTATAAGGTCCAATTCTTTTGAGACTATTCATCAGGTAGTTTAGTTCTTATTACACTATGCTTTCTGATGAGATTATACTTCCAAACTAAATGGGTTAAGTGAATTTTAAAAACCAATTATTTTTTTTTCTGGAAGTATAATTTATTATATGTTCAGAAATTTTCTGAGAGAAATAGATGTGCAAAAAATTATAAAAATTGTGACTATGAGGATAATTAATGCTAAAATTCTACCACAATGGAAATATTAGATCTTTTATAATATTTTTATTATTCTCTTAGTATTAACCAGGTACATAAAGATATACTTAATGAATTACTGCTTTATGACTTTAAGGTATTAATAACATGTTGACTATTATTTAGCTAGAAACAAATGCTTTGCTAAGAAAATCCTGAAAAATTACAAATATCAGAACACAATGTTACATTTGTTTCACATGTGAAACTTTCTTATATATTGATTTTAATTCTTGTACTCTCAGAAACTCATGTATTAGTTTAATCCTTAATTAAACATTTACTTGATAATTTATATCTATATTTGTTTTTCCCAACACATTATTTTTGAGCAATTTCTTAGAATTGCAATTTAAGGTCTTTTATCTTTGAAAATGTGTATTTAAAGAAATAGAGTTTAACTACAAATATTAATTTAAAACAATAATAAATAATAAATACCATAGCTTAGTTTTTGAGAATACTTAGCTATCAGTAACCTTTGTATCTAGTACTTGTTCTTAGCAGATTTTAGCTCATTTATGGGTCAAGATGGCACTCCTAATGATCTGCAAAATCTTCTAGAAATGTAGTCCTCCATTTCTTTAAGGCTAACTCACTACTCTGAAGGCCTGCAACTTAATCCCCAGCGAAGGGTTAGTTCTTATTAATCCTAGTTACTCCTACCTACTTATTACAGGTTATTAACGTGTATTATTTGTAAAGTAAAATTAGTAATACTAAAATTTATGAGGCGTCACAGTCAGTATGCTACTAAGTGTGAAATGCCGCAAAACTAAGTCTACTGAAGGTATATAATCAAATGATTACATTTCCTGTAATTTTACTGGAGGACACTTTAATGTTGTGTTTGTCTTGCGATTGGTCATGATTTTCATTTGCTGCTATTCTTAGAGGTGTTACTTGGATGGTGGTAGGGAGTTCTGCCAAGAGGATTGGATGATTGAGAAACTGTTGCACACACACACACACACACACACACACACAATAGGGTTGGGAATGTAGCTCAGTGATAGAGTGTTTTACAGAATGAGCAATACCCTGAGTTCAACTCCCAATACATGCCAAAAATTATTTTAAAAATTTCTTTCTTCTTTGTTATTATTAAATCACTTCTATTTTATTGCCGCTGCATTTCTTTACAGTTTTCTGCTCTTCTCTTTGCTTCCTTTGGAAGAGTAAGAGGTAGGCTTTGGATTATTTTTTCCCTATGAAAGTGAGATTCCTTATAGTTTGAGAAAAACTGCTATAGGAGTATTAGCCAATTATTCAACTATTTTTAGAATACATTAACATCCTAATATTACAGGACCAGAGTCACACTGGAATGTGTTGGTTTTTATTCTTTCTGTTCTTGATTGATAAGCTATTTCAGAGAAGCCTGTATCACAGCTTCCTTTGATATCAGAATTACAAATGGAACCTCCAGTCCAACCTCTTTGAGGTACCTCCATATTGATTTCCATAGTGGTTGCACCAGTCTGCACTCCCACCAACAATGGAGAAGGGTTCCTTTCTCCCCACAACCTGGCCAACATTTGTTATTGTGTGATTTCTTGATAGCAGCCATTCTTTGTGGGGTGAGGTGGAATCTCAGTGTTGTTTTCATCTGCATCTCTCGAATGACCAGTGATGTGGAACATTTTTTCAAATATTTTCTTGCTGCTTTTACTTCTTTGTCTGAGAAATGTCTGTTCATTTCAGATGCCCATTTTTGAATCGGGTCTTCATATTTGGGGGAACTGATTGTTTTGAGTTCTTTATATATCCTTGATAATAGTCCTTTGTCTGAGGAACAGCTGGTAAAACTTTTTTCCCACATTGTAGATTGTCTCTTAGTTCTGCTGATGGTTTTATTTGAAGTACAGAAGCTTTTTAGTAAGATGAGATCCCAGTTGTTGATTCTATCTGCTAGTTCCCGTGGTACTGAGGATTTGTTCATAAAGTCTTTTCTTATACCAATGTCTTCCAGAGTTCTGCCTAACTTACCTTCCAGCAAGTTTAATGTTTCTGTTTTAATATTTAGATCTTTAATCCATTTGGATTTTAATTTAGTGCATGGCGAAAGATAAGGGTCTAATTTTAATCTGTGGCAGGTTGACATCCAGTTTTTCCAACACCATTTATTAAAGAGGCTATCTTTCCTCCACTGAGGATGGTCAGCTCCTTTGTCAAAGATGAGGTAGCTGAGTACATCTGCGTTTGTTTTTGTGTCTTCCAGTCTGTTCCACTGATCCTCAGGCCTATTTCTTTGCCAGTACCATGCTGTTTTTATCACAGTGGCTTTGTAGTATAGTTTCAAATTGGGAATTGTTACACCTGGTGCCATGTGTCTGTTGCATAAAATGGCTTTTGCTATTCTAGGTCTCTTATGGTTCCAAATGAATTTTTGGATTTTTTTTTCTAGTTCTGTGAAGTATAGTGTTGGAATTTCAATTGGCATTGCATTGAATGTATATAGCAGTTTTGGTAGTATGGCCATTTTCACTATGTTGATTCTTCCTACCCAGGAGCAGGGGATATCTTTCCATTTTTTTTATATCCTCTTCAATTTGTTTTTTCCGAGTGCTGTAGTTTTCAGTGTAGAGATCTTTTGCTTCTTTTGGTAGATTGATTCCTAGATACTTCATTTTTTTGGATGCTATTGTAAAAGGAATTTTTTCCCTTATTTCTCTCTCTGTGTGTCTGTTATTTGTGTATAAGAAGGCTATTGATTTTTGGGTATTCATACTCTGCTGAGTCTCTTTCCAAGAGAACTAAAAGAATCATATCACAGAGAAGTATGTGCACCCATGTTTATAGCGGCACAGTTTGTAATAGCTAAATCTTGGAAACAGCCCATTTGCCCATCCATTGAAAACTGGATAAAGAAGATGTGGTTTTTCTGTAAAATGGAATATTACTCAACCATAAAGAATGAGAAAATAGATTCATTCATAGGAAAATGGATACATATTGAAGATATACTCCTAAATGAAATAAATAAGGCACACATGTGTAAATACCGAATAGTTTCCCTGGTGTGAATAAACTGCAACAATGCATAAGATTCTAATAAGATTACTGACATTTAGAAATGGGAAGAAAGGAGCTAAAGGTGTAGGAAAGGTGGGATGGGTAGGGGAAGGGTAAAAAGGGAAAAGAAAAAAATGTGAGAATGAAAAGATGAAAATAAAGTGTTTGTAGATGGGGAGGGGAGGAGGGGGTGAAGAGAGGGCTGAGGTAAGGGGAAAAAATGAGAATCAAGACTTGTCATGTAGAGGTACAAGATCCCAACTATGAATGTAACTGTACTGTATCCCTAAAATGTACCAATAAACTCAATTAAAGCTGAAAAAAAAGAATTACAGTTATCACATCGAAATCTGTCTAAAAAGAAAATGCAACATGTAGCTATTTAAATATATTATTGCTGTTGATAACATTCTGTAATTATTATTTCTTCTTTGATTTTAAGAAAATATATTGTGTACTGATGCTTGAACAGATGTAAAACTGTCACTAGCTTATGGACTATTTCTCATTTTAGATGATGCTTAGTCAAACAATTGGAATTGCATAGAGTCTTCTTATGCTAATGTATTCTTAAAGTCTTCTGGTAAGCCTGAAATCTAGTTTGAAAACTAATACATTTTAAATTAAACAGTTTACAGAGGTCAACATGGATAAGATCTTGTTGTGGAACCTCCTGTTGTTTTTTTCTGGAAGTCAAGCCTCAAGAACCTGGGCTCAAAAAAATGCCGAATTTGCAGTGGACCTTTATCAAGCTATTTGCTTATCTCAAAAGAACAATGTTGTATTTTCTCCCCTTGGAACAACTTTAGCTCTTGCAGTGGTACACCTGGGAGCAAAAGGAAAAGCACAACAGCAGATAAGACAAACTTTGAAGCTTCAGGACCCTGCAACGGGTGAGAGTCTTATACTTGATTATTTGTAGCAGATGAGATATGGTTCACATTTGTTTTTAAAGTATTAGAAAGAAGCTCAGGTTCATAGAAACTGAATAAGTGAAAAGTATTATTGGATATACAAAATCATAATAAAATGGAAAATTGGAAATGTAATTTTCACTCCTTCATAATAGTTTCCCATGTAAAATGTAATAACTCACTAAAAATTAGTATCTATAAAGATATAAAATTCTGTGTAAGTATTTATAGTCTTTTGTTTGTTTTTTCTGCTAATAAAGATTATGTTGTGTTTGCATTTGTGTGCGTAACACATAAAATATATGTCCATTTTCTTCCACTGCCACTTTGTTGAAGTAGTTTCCCATATCGTGCAACTAATTCAAAATATGCATGATTTTAAATTATTTTATTATATTTACTCTTATATAAATACCTTTACTTACTCAACACTTCTGCAGTACATTGTTTCTAATACTTATCTTTCAAAAATATTGCACTCACACCCACAGTATGATCAAGGAAAAGCATTAATTTATGCATTTTTAAGACCTTACTTAATATTTTCATAAGAAATTTTTTAGGAAAAGCATTTAAATGACCCAGTAAATGTCTAGCTTCCTGTAGGTAGTAGTGAATTGGATACACTCAAAGGCCTATCTAAAATGTGAATCCCAGGTACTGGGACAGAATACTTTCTCACATCTCATTTAGCAGAGTTGTTGCCCAAATCCCTGGCCATCCCATACTCTCAATTCCCATAGTGGTTTGAATTTTAAACTGTGTATCACTATCAGATATTATGTCCTAGATATCAGAGGAAACATCTGGATTTTTTGATTTGGTAGTTTAGTTGCTATAGCTATAACTAATTTCTGTATATTTGCCTTAGTGCAGAGAAGCTGTAGTTAGGAGTTTGTTTTTCTGAAAATACTGTTTTCAAGTTTTAAATTGCTTCATTTTAAATAAAGACAATTTCGTATAGAAAAGAATCTGGAGATAAGTTAATTGCAAGAGTTTTTCTTTGTGAATAATGTATAATGAAGCTACTATATTCCAGATTTAGTCTTGATTAATTTCAGCAAATCCCATTCCACCAAAAACATTAAATCATATGATATTGCTTTGAAAAGTAATGGAGTGTTTATGAATACATGTACAGCTGATTCCATGATAAGCTAGCAAAATTTGAGAGCTTCTGATATCTAAATTCCTTTAAATGGATTCATCTTAGACAGAAATACAGAAGGCTTATGACTGTGGTCTATAAACAAAGTCATCATCACAATACCATTGCATCAACCAACATCTGTGTAGTCTATCAGCTACTGTAGTATGTATCTGATATATATTAGATCATTTAATATTTATAATTACACTGTGAGGTAAATGTGACTCGGCTATACAGACAAGAAAACTGAGGAAAACAAAAGTTACATAATTTGATCAGGACTAATTTAAAAGATGATTCAGTGAGTCTTATAGATAATAAGAAAAGTAATGAAAAGTGTTATATTTTCTTTGGAAGAGTATATATGAGTCATCAGAGATTAATGCTTTAATACATTTAACAAAATCTACCATGAGGGTTCTTAGCTATGGTTTGGTAGGGCGTGGAGACAGACACAGACACAGGATAAGTGCCAAAGGAAAACAAAGTCACAAAGGGAGAAAGTAGGAAAAATAAAATCTGGAAAATAAAAAGAAGAGAAATAACAAATAAAAGAAAAAGAGAGGCAAATGGATTTCAAGGAAGTGGAGAAATATCCGAGGCGGTCTTCCAACAAGAGTAGATAGACTACAGGATGAAACGAAGAGTAGGAAGGATCAGAAGACAGTGCCTAGCAAAGTCAGAAATACAAATATTGTCTTTATTTTAAATTATGGTAGTTTATTCTTCATGACTTTTTGCATACATTTTGATTTTAAAATATTGCATTGAAATATTAGGTATCTGTATTATTGAGAGTTTTCTCAGCATCTCCTTAAATTTCATGCCTAATTTGAGTGTCCCATTCACTTACTTTATCTCTGGCCCTGCCCTTATTCCTCCATTAATTTTTCAGAATACCCTCGAGTCAGTCCTGGTATTGTTTTCCTTGCTTTCAACCTATGGTCCCTGAATGCCAACTCCTGGCTTAGTCTATTAGAGCCTACAGGTGAGCGCACAAGTGCTGGCCTTCTAACAAAAAGTCCTTCTAGGACTCTTTGTATCCTCAGTTTTCCTTTCTTTCCCAATGTCAAAATACATGCTGAATGTACCTTCTCCATTTTGTGGAATATCTGATAATTATATATTTTGCTTTGCCGATTTATTTTTTAAAAAGTTTTTGGTTCTTGGGGATTGAACTTCAGCTTGCAAGGCGGGCAGCAGCACTCCTGAGCTAAATCCCTGGCCCAACGCCACTGATTTAAGCAAAATTTAAATTGAAGATGCCTCTTTGTTCTACCAGGGTTATAAGGAGAGCTCTGGGGCCAGGGACAAAGCTCAATGAAGGAACATTGCCTTTCATGTGTGAGGCCCTGAGTTCAGTCCATAATACTGGACATAAGACAAAAGAACTGAGCCTGAGTTTCAGTCCGAGCTCTGCAATGAAATGACCTTGTGATTCGGTACAAGTTTCCTTATCTCTTTGGATCTCAGATTTCTTTCTGTGGGAAAAGGGGAACAAATTAGGTGATTTACGCAGATCTTTTAGCTGAGAGAATCGATGACCACTCCTGCTTTCATATTTGGATCTCTCATATATCCACACAAAATTGGCCTTTGGATTCTTAATAGCACTAGGGATCGGGTATTAACATTGTAGAATGTTTTGTGTTACAATCAAGAAAAAAGCCATCTATACCTCCCGATCTGTAAAGTTCTCCATGGCTCTGTTTGTGAAAATGAAGTAAACTTGCTCTCCTTGCTTATTAGGAGCCTTGCATCTGCATTCTTTTTGATCTGTGCCAACTGGGTCATTAATCTGTAAAGTAAAGCAAATTTATAAGACAGATAACTTTTTATTTTCCTTCAAACATGTTCCTTGGTGAAATTTTTTCACTGACTTCTGAGACTAGTGATTTATCAAAGGGTAGCTGTTTGTCACAGTCTTAGGCCTTAAGTACATGACATAAATCTATTTGCTTTGAAAAATGAGTGAGAACTATTGTTTCACCACCTCTCTTTTTTAATCTTTCCTTCAAACATGTTCATGAGCTACAAATTCCTAAAATTAATTTCAAATTCTGTCACTTCATTTCTGACCTGAAAATTAGTTTCAAATTCTGTTACTTTATTCTTAACCTGAAAATTAGTTTCAAATTCTGTTACTTCATTCTGACCTTAATTAATTCTTTTGCGGATGCTCTCATGTCTTTACTCAAGAAATCTTTGTAACCTCCCGGCTGTTAAAATATTTCTTTTTAAGCTTCAGATAGTAAGAAATGATTGCATCTGCAATTATTATATCAACAAGTAAAATAGGTTTTCTTCCCTTTCTTTTGTAAAGAATTCCAGGGTTGTAAAGAATTCCAGGGTTGTAAAGAATTACAAAAACTCCTCAGATGAACAATATAGAAGCAACATTTACATTTTAACTGTTTTATATCTTTTTGTATGTCCCAGTGAATAGCAAATTCTGAAGTTTAAAATGTAGTGCAACATCCTTAGCAGAGGCTCCTGGAAGGATGTGTAGACTGTGCGTGTGTGAAAGCACCAGGGCAGGGAGGCCAGCAGACACTGGATAAGAGTCAGGGCCAGGAAGATGCAGCTTCCAGCGAGGGGACTGTTCTCTTCTACACACAAGTGCCCTGAGGGATGCCAGCTTTCGGATAGAGAATGTGCTTGCACACATACATACCCCTGATTTCCATTAGATGACCCACTGCACCTTTCTCTCAGTAATACTTTTTAAAGTTACTCAATCATTATTTTAAGAAATTTATTAACTCTATTGGAACATTTTAAGTATACAATATGATGACAGTCATTATTGGGAATTTGTATCTTTACATAATATATCTTGGCTTTTATTTTTTCCCCATTCCCTTGCCCTCAATCAATATTTTTTAATGATGAACCGTATTTTGTTTTCTTCAATATTTATTTATACAATCTGCTCCTAAGTTATGAAAGTGTTGTTTTCAGTACTTAACTGAAAAAGATAATGAAGATCCTGAAAAATTATCATTTGAAAATGTTTCTGATTTGATGATTGAGTTCTAGGGTTAAGGCAGAAAAGAATGAAAAATATTTAACCATTTAGAAATGAATAGGAAACCACCAAGTAAGAATAGATACTAGTACCACCAAGGTACTAGAATAGATATCTCTCATAGGCATGTACAGCTTCCTGATAACGCAATGCACCCATGAAGAATAGCCAGTGGTGATTGTTTGAGTCGATTATGACTCATTTGGTCAGTGGCAATAGTTGAAATGGTTAAATATTGTTATTTTTCATGTAGACAGCCAAAGTGTATACATTCATGAATTGAGAATTCTGATTCTGAATAGATAATTCTGAGTCTTAAACATATTTACAGATGGTTATAAAGGATATCCTGTAAGTTTCAAAATCTGGATAGGTACAGTCAGTCGTTCAAAAGAGAGCAATTCTTAAACTGAAATAAGAGAAATAGTGAAATGGATTGCTTAGGACTGCCATATCCCCATTAACATTCACTAGCATCCTCCTTTTATACGAATCACATTCATATTATGCAAAAATAAAATTCTAAACATAAATTTCCAACAATGAAAATGAGCTAAGTGTACTGTCATAAAGAGGAGCTTTTCTTCAGGTTGTATAAATACATATTCTTGTTCTTGACAAATTTTAAATTTACATGGACATTTTTTTTGCCTATATAAAAGTCGATTTCTCTGCAACATATGTATTCTAAAGAACATAAATGCTTGAAGTATTTATACTAACTTAGGATCATTAGTGATACCTAAGGGTGCAAAAGTGGTGATATGAATCAGAATGCTTAGAGTGCAAAGCTGAAAGCTGTTGTTTTTATGTTGTTCAAAATGTCAGTATACATTATAATTATTTTTCAGGAGAAGAATTTTCTGTGCTGAAGTCATTTTTCTCTGCCATCGCAGAGAAAAAAGAAGAATTTACATTTAATCTTGCCAATGCCCTCTACCTTCAAGAAGGATTCACTGTGAAAGAACAGTATCTCCATGGCAACAAGGAGTTTTTTCAGAGTTCTGTAAAACTGGTAGATTTTCAGGATGCAAAGGCTTGTGCAAAGACAATAAGTACCTGGATAGAAAGCAAAACAGATGGTAAAGTTTCCTGTTTTTATGTAATCATTATTTGCCATTGTGTACAGGGTTTTTAATATTCTAAAAACTGACTGAACATCTTTCTATTCCACTGTGGATCAGAGGTATCAAATCTCCTATTTTATTTTGCTTTATTTAAATTAATACAAATGTGCAAAATGAAAAGAAAATGGAAGGTGTTTCTGGGAGATAGCTATCTATAGAATTCTTAATAAAAAGAGTTATAGTAATAATTTTTGTTGGAGCCATAATGATCTTCCAAGTATGGAAGCAAGAGTCGTGGCTCTGGTGAAGTGGACGTTAGCTCTGTGAATCCCAAATGCCTTTTCCTACACATGCAGAAAACATTCAACACATTTTGAATTGACTGTGTTTATATTTTATGATAAATATTAATAGTACTATCATAAACATAGCACTCTAGTTTTTAATTTAAACAGAAGCTAGCAAAATTCTAACAATTAAAGAGATGCATAACAAGCTTAAAGTCAAATGGATATGATTTGAAATTTTACAAAGTTGTAAGCTATCTCTATCGACTATATCATTAACCCATTATGTGCGATTTACCTGCCACAGAAGCTTGAAACAAAGTCTGAATAATTCCAACAAACATGCAGAAAGGGATACTTTGTTTTTTGTTCTTTCTGTCTGAAAGACAGTTGACAGGAATAATCTGAGTCCATTACTACGTCCACGTTTGTCTAAATCAGCCTCATATTCCTTGTTTACTAGTGGAAATCCTACTTCTTAGCGAAATATTCAACATTCCTTTTTCATCTCAAACTTGATAAACGTTAGATGAGACACCTTGTCCTTTCAAAAGAGCTGTGCACGGGATATTTGAGCTTTAATCCTGTTTAAAGCAGTCCCACTGAATCACTATTGCATATTTCTCCCTCCCTTTCCTTCTACTTTCTTCATAGGAAAAATTAAAAACATGTTTTCTGAGGAAGATTTTGGCCCTCTGACTCGACTTGTCCTAGTGAATGCTATACATTTCAAAGGAGACTGGAAACAGAAATTCAGAAAAGAAGACACAAAACTGATGAATTTTATTATGAAAGATGGTTCAGCGGTCAAAATTCCAATGATGAAGGCTTGGCTGAGAGCAAAATATGGTACTGTGAGAAAATACGTTCTTAAAGCATGGCTTTGGTAATTACCACGTATATTTGATATTTTATTTTGTCTTTTACAGGTTATTTTTCTGAACCCTCCATCAATTACCAGATCTTAGAATTGCCCTATAAGAATGATGACTTTAGCTTAATCATCATACTTCCTGAAAAAGGTGTAAACGTAGACGACATGGAAAAACTACTAACTGCTCATCACATTCTGAAATGGTCCTCTGAGATGGAGGGAGAAGTGGTGGAAGTATTTCTCCCCAGGTTAGTAACATCATTTTAGAATACTGCTGCTTATGTTCTTGTACATGGTGGAATTTGAACAGCCAGGTGAAAGTTAAATGCTTGATAAGACTACTACCGTAAATGACAATAAAAATGCATTTAGAAATATTACTTCACTCTGGGTACAAAAGCAATTCTTACCCTTGCCCATACTGTTTCACCATGAGGAACACTGAATTTAAGTACTCAATTTTTCTCTGAAAGAGATGAAAAAGTGTACATCTTAAAACTAGAAAGCTGAGATTAAAATGAACTGTTATCTTTTTATTATACTAGTTTATCTTTCTCCAATATTTTTGCTAATTGGAACTTATAATATTCGTCTTCTATTATGTTTATATCTATCTATCTATCTATCTATCTATCTATCTATCTATCTATCTATCTATCTATCTATTTATTGAGACAGGGTCTCACTATGTAGTTGAGACTGACCTGGAACTCACTATGTAGCCCAAGCTGGTCTCAAACTCACAGTGATCCTCCTGCCTCAGCCTCCCGAGTGCTGGGATTACAGGCGTGTGCCACCATGTCTGGCTTTATTACGTTTAAATGAAACAAACCCCTCTAATAATTTATGAATGTGTATATTATACAGTTAAAGGACATATTAACATTACCTTTAACAAATAGCATTCTAACAGTCACTGAATGATAAATAAAATCCTGTGGTCAATTTTAGGTAGTTAATATAACATGAAAATTGTGACGAATTATTTTAGAAAGCAATAATGAGAAACACTTGTATGCTTCTAAGTGACATGAGAAGCTAGAAAGAAAGTGAGCCCAAATAGCCTAGGCCACAGTAAAAGTTATGTAACTCTTTATTGATCTCTTTTCCTACCTTCCTTGATATTTTGGAGAAAGAGCTACCCTTGATCCACATTTCTTCTTCCCTTTACTCTCCATGACATTTCTCTCTCTCTCCTTTGTGTCTCTGTCTCACGTTCCCAGATTTACATGTTTCCTTTTATTTTTTCCAATAAACTTTTACTAGAGTTTTATATTCAAAATTTTTCTTTTCTTCTACCTTCTGAGAAATGTTATTTTCCCTCATCATTGAGGTCTCTGAAATCTGAGTCAATAATCCCCTCTCTTTTCAAATATCTACAATCTATATATACCTCTGGATGTTATACATTCATTCACAGAGTAATTTTTTAGCACCTACCAAATGCCAAACGCTGAGGATGCAATGACTTTTGTGATAGTTTAACTTCTATAATTGAAATGATAGGTTTTGAAAGCAAATTCTTTATCTTCAACTATGCCATGTCCCACATGGGTGGTCATACTGCCGGAAAGTGCAACAGCTCAGCATTACAGCCAAGTGTTAAAGCTCTTTTCTAGTGAAATGTTACAGCAAAGTGTTACAGCTATCTGAAGGTCTCTGGTGGCAAAGTTGAGCTGAGTGGCTTTCAGAGAGATGGAGGGATTCTTTATTATGCTGTCAGACTCAGAGGAATTCATACACTGAAGTCTGAGCCCTCACACAGCAAAGTGAGTAGCCTCAGAGAGAGATCGTGGGGTAGGGAATGGGCCCATCTGTTTATTGGGTGAGCATGCTCTGAGGTGAATGGGTGGAATTAACACAACATTTTTGAAGCCTTAGATACAAACATCCTGCAGTACAAACAGCTGCACTGCATGAACAAAACATTTTGATATATTGGGCAGAAACACTGAGCAATACAACCAGTTACATTATTTGAACAGAACATCCTATGGCAAAAACATGGTGGGTAAGGCTGGGCTTGGCAACAAAAAAAAGCCTGCTCTGCTGAGCACTCTTTCTCTATCAATTTGAGAACCACTTGACTATTCGGAATTGTGGCTTAGCCCCATAAAATGTGGATAATATACTTGTGACCAAGGTACACTCAGCATTCAACCTAAATAACAAATGCTTCAATATTAATGCCTGTGCCCAATTCTTGGCTAACAACGGAAAATAAAACCCTTTGCAATACTTTCAGAAATACTTTCAGGAATGTTTCACAGTCCAAATATCTGTGCAGGCTAATGCAGTCTATCCCCTTTTCTGTTTTGATCTTATTATTAACTTCTTGTATGGGTTCTCCTCCCATGCAGCTACATCCATAATGGACACTTAGCTTGGTCTCTTAATTTTTCTGAACCCAACATTTATGAATTAAATTGCGCCCCTCCAAATTCATATAGTGAAGTCCTAACAATCAGTACCTTAAATTTGACCATATTTGGATATAGGATGTTTACAGTCAAGCTAAAGCAAGATTATTAGGGTGGGTTCTAATCTAGTATGAATGGGGCCTTAGAGAGAAATTTGGGCACAAAGTTATACATAGAAGGTATGCAATGTGAAGAGACAGGGTAAAGAACATCTATAATCCAAGAACAGAGGCAGGAACAAATCCAAGTTAGCACCATCCAAAGGAACCAATAGTACTGAAATCTTGATTTTGTACATTGGTTCTCCTTACATAGTGGAAATCACTGTATTACTTTTCTAAATAAATGGACAATTTAATTTACTTAGTGAATTTAAATATTCATTCATATAGAAATAGAGGGCAGGGGTAAGGGGAAAAAGTGAGAATCAAGACTTGTCATGTAGAGGTCTACATGTACCTACAAGATCCCAACAATGAATGTAACTGTACTGTATTCCTAAAATGTACCAATAAACTCAATTAAAGCTGAAAAAAAAGACATAGAAACATTAGGTGCCAGTTGTACCCTTTTTGGTGCAAATTCATGTTGCAAAAGATTTTTAAAACTTGGTGATGGTATCGACTATAGTAGTATTTCATTGTAGCTATACATAGCACAAAATCTGGAAAATAGAAGACGCCAAACCAAGATGGCTGTTATTCTCTGTTGGTGTTGTTAAGATCACTCCATAGCCAGTATCCAACTAGAAACATTGTCTTTTTGTGCTTCTCAATCTCCTTCACTGATTTTCCTCCATTTGTTAAACCCTACTGCAAGGTGTCTGACCAGTAAATTTCTGTTTATCCTTTAAGAACTCCACTTCAGTTATCTCTCCCATGAACTTTTCTTCAAAATTGCCCAACTAAGATACCCATTTATCCTTTATCTCAAGCAGAATTTAACTATCCATTCTTTAATTCATTCCCCCTGAGGGTCCTGATGAAGCTGCCCACCTTCCCATACATTCAGCATAATAAAAAACAGGATATCAGGTATTTATTTGGAAACTTTTCTGTAGAGAAAGAAAAATGAGATTCTTTTTTTTGAGATTTCCTATTTAAGTTACAAGACTAAAACTGTGGCAATTATTTAATCATATAAATAAAAACTTCACATTTAAAATGTATTCACTTTTTATAATAGAATATCTTACAAATTCTTAAAGGAATTATTTGCTTATGTATTTTTAAAATAAATTAACAATTTTAGCTTAACCTAATATATAT